GGGGTGACGGACAAAGAGTAAAATTATGTATTTCTTTCAAAATGCTGTTTTGTTTTGTACGACCAAAAATAGACTATTCTAGTAAATAAATTCAGGACTGAAAGAATCTTTCGGGAATACATATATACTGTATTTGTATGTGGGTTTATTGTGTATTTGACACAATTTTGGCGTTCATTCCACCGGGAAGTGTTCCGCGATCAGCGTGGGTTTCAAAACAAGAAACACAAGATCAAGAAACAAAGCTCCCGCTAATTAGAACCCTGTAACAATTCAGACCACAGCGATCATGTTTTCGAGAAATATATTTGTGTACATGCACGTTTCAGAGAGGTAGAAATCTTAACTCAATCTATTAAACCACATTCTAGCTCAGGAATTTACGATCTTCACTGTTGGGTAAAAAATATCGGCAGATCTCATGAACATTTTCACTCCGCGCCATAGAAAATGTAAACAAACCGGGTGTGATCTTTCTCCGCCCACGGCGCGGGTGGCCTGCATATGAAAAGGACGTATTTCTGCGGAAACGCGGCCTTACGGAGAGGTGTTCTGCGGAACTTTCGCAAAGTTCTGCGAAAGTGCTCTCAGGTGCACTGCGGGACGTCGTGCGGAATACCGCGGTACGCCCTGCGAAATACCGCAGAACGCCGTGCGTAAGATTGCGGAACGCCGTGCGTAAGATTGCGGAACGCCGTGCGTAAGATTGCGGAACGTCGTGCGGAATATTGCGGGACGTCCTGCGGAATATTGCGGGACGTCCTGCGGAATATCGCGGTACGTCCCGCAGAACTTGATGCGTATTTCGTGGCCTGTACTGTACTGCTCAATGTAAAATTCATACAGGTAAGCAGCAAGTACTGCTTTCATATCTGTTATGGTACTTATGATATACATGTGTACCATCAGGGTAATTGGTAAGGCTTATCCAATAGAATATGAATTTGACCCCCCCCAAGTGCTTATGCTTTATTGGGCTATTAATTACAAACAGCCCTTATTATTAATGTAACACCTAACGACTGGAAACAAACCCATGGTATTTGCAGCAAAAGGTCAAATTGACTGTTAAATTTTACGATCAATTTATAAGTTTAGTAATTGTTCTTTATTCACCTGATACCCCAAAAGGCATAATTTTCAATATTTTATTTTTGTACGTTCTTCCTTCACTGCAGACTATAGCATTCCTTTATACCATATCCATATGTCCTGGAAAAAAGCTGATATTCTCATATTAGTAGGGCCTAGAAAAATTGATGTTGAATATGTTTCTGGTTTCAGACCTGAAAAAAATAAGATAGATAGATCCATAGATAGGCATAGATCCATAGATTTTCTTCTTTTGTTTATTGTTTATTATTTTAAATTTTGCTACAATGATCAAACAAATTTAAGGACCTGTCCACCTGTTGGCTTTTTTGGAGAAATATTTCACCCAATTTATTGAAGGAAAAAATTACTTCTGAAAATGCATGACGTTTCGGAATTCAGAGGTTTTGAAATTCAGATGTCAAATCGAAAATATTATTGTAGCCTTAGGCCACACCAATTTAATTTCTTGGTTAACGGATTTTTCTAGAAAAATAATGGAACGGGCAGGCAAAAAAAACCCCCAAAAAACAGGCCTAGGAATCCTATTATGGCCCAAAATGGTACAATAGGAGCCATGAAGTCAACACACCAGGCTGGTTCAAAATTTAAACAATGAATTTTGAACATTTAATGATACCACTACATTGAAAGATGGAATAACTGTAACAAGTTGCAAGAAAAGGACTGTTTTCAACTGTTCAGGGCAAAATATGAGCATTTTGCCATTGATTCTAAATTTTAATTTTTTTGTAAATCAGAAAAAAAGATGAAGCGGCGAATCCGTTAACCAAGAAATTAGATTGGTGTGGCCTTACCAGTGGTGGATCAAAAAAAGGCTAGGGTTGGTGGGTTTTTTGTGAAGATTGGTCGGGAAACTGGAAACACAACATTTTTTTCCAAGGCCTAAGTACTAGTACTGTGCTTGTACATGTATGTCCTTCAGGGCATACCACAACTAATACACAAGATTGATAGTGTGTATTTCAACTGAAATGTGTTTGAACATCTGGTTAATGTGTCAGGTATGATGTCAGTAGGATATAAGTCACCATTGCTGTGGCCCATTTAACTCTACCTGCACGATTCACACCATCTATCCTGGCCAGTGCTGTGTACCTAAACCCACATTTAGGTTCAGGTCAGGATTCAAGTACTGAGGTTTAGATTCAGTTCCGTACTTGTAAGTCCAGACTTAAACCCATGGCATATACAAAATTGCATGTTGGCATACATTTTGTACTTGCAATGTTGTTTGGGCAAAACTATGGTCACATAACATGGAGGCCGACACTTGACGATGGCCGATGGCAATGTTTTCTTAATTTTTCACCACAGATTTTGCAAGGTTATGGAAGGTTTTTGGTGGTTTGGAAAGAAAAGGGGAATGTGACATTTTTTTATAAGTCTGGAACCGGCTCTTGACTTTTTTTTTTTTTTTTTTGGACTTGAACCTAAACGTTTTTACAAGTCCGGAACCGGTCCAGCGAACCAGTACATAGCACTAATCCTAGCTAACGTTTCTCTAAACATCATTGTGAAACGTGTCATGTGGCATCAATATGCAAATATGCTATACTGTAGTACCTGACCCAACCATCTCTTCATCCTGTTAAGGCTATCGATTTCGGCTCAGGTCCAAATGATGTGTACAAATCCGCATGAAAATTTGACTTTTTTTAAAAGATTAAGGCCACTCCAATTTGATTTGTATGTTACTGGATTTTTCAGAAAAAAATATGAAGCGACAGGGCAAAAAAATTAATAAAGGCAGACCTAGGGCATCCTCTGATATCTGCAAAAGCTACGATAGGACCTATGACTGACATCAACATACCAGGCTATTTTAAAATTCAAACAATGAATTTTAAACTTCATATCTTCTTCTTTTTCTTCTATGTCAAACTCTTAGTCAGACCAATGTTTTGATAGATGAAAAAAACTATCAACTAGGAAGGTTTCTTCAACTGTTTGGACCAAAATATGAACATTTTGAGTTGATTCAGAACCTGAATCTTTCTACTATTTTGCAAATAAAAGAAAAATGAAGCGAGTGAATCCGAGAACCAATTAATTTGGTGTGGCCTAAAGATCCATAACCTGTTTGTGATGAATCAGTAATTTTTATTCCATTTTGCTTTGTGCCAATATCATATAATTTTACTACGGAAAGCTTAATATTTCCGTCTGACTTTGAATGAGCATAAAATAAAGAGTAAAGACATACTCCCATAGTTCTAGTATTTTTGTTGCATAGCTGAATCAGTGTGCTGATCCCAGCAGATCTAAATTAGACTTACCAAACAATCAGTAATCAACTTGTATCTGTGGTATTTTTTTTCTCTTTCATGTTGGCCATCTATGTAATCAGTCCTCGTTAACTTGCTATTCTGAGCTAAGTTGTCTCTGATTGGGTTAATTCACAGACATGAATTCCTCAGTGGATTACCTCTCTACAGCACTAACCACATTAGAATTGAATATCCTGACCAAGATGGTCAGACTGTTACTGTAAGTCACTTTATATTCGCGGTACCAAAATTTGGCGGTCTGAGAATAATTTGTTTGCGGTAATGATAAGTCTGTGGTACAGAATATAAAATTACTAGGAATATAATTTATTAAGTGATTTACAGTATTCAGAGAGTGGTTGGTTATGTTATTCCTCTCAGACCGCAGGGTTCTAGCTAGCGCAAAGTAGCGTAGGGGCCATCTACGCTATAATTTTGACCCCCTATGCTAAATTTCCCCCCCTATGCTAATTTTCAATACAGCGTAGGGGCATTGTGACTGTATTTCTTTGTTCAATAATGCAAAATCAAAATGAAAAATTACCAATCAAGGATACATTGTACATACCTTAGAAATAACATTTTTTCCCTTTGGGTATCCCTCAAATGGCCTCTTTTTTAGCTCAAATTTTTAAAAGCTCCGCACCGCTTCTGCCCCATCCCCCCTCTCGGTTGCTTAGCTCCCTTGACATACGGCCAATGCCACTACAGGTACATTAAAAGTAAATCCTAGCTAGAACCCTGCAGGGTTTGTTGTATCAGGGAATATTTGGTGGATTGTTGATTTTTCTAGTACTGATCTAGTCTAGAATACCAGTTGTACTATTTTCTTACCATTTTTAATTGTGAATAGACTGAATTGACTTGAATTTACTGCTCCTTGTCCTGTAATTAAAGGACCTTGTCACCATCTTTTTTAATGGATTTTTAAGCCCGAAGATACACTCCCAGTAATTTGTCCAGTCTACTTTAATTCTTTTAGAGTTGCAGTGATGACAGTCTGATTAAGACATAGGCCTTAGTATTGAATTTCTCATTACTGTAGTTGGGCAGGGTGATTACATTCAATTTGAGAATAGCCATGATAGAGAGCTGTATCACTGATGACCTAGTTTCGGGTTTGTGAGGTTTTTCCGTCAATTTTCAGAACTTTGTGAGATGTGACGGAATTTTGAAACCAAACCGTCAACCTTGACAGACAAAATTGAGGAACTTCGGTAAAAATATAGAAACTTCCTAAGGACCAACAACAACCACTTTCAACCCCATGATTTGTCTCTTAAAATGTGTTTAAAAAATTTTTTTTTATATTCCAATATGTAATCACAAGACGTGGTGACTAAAGTTTTTCAACTTATATTAATGCCGCCACCAACACGGGACAGTACAATACTCATTTAATTTTTCACCTGAGTGAAGTGAGGAAAGTCGTGTAAAGTACCTTTCCCTAAGGCACAAGATTGGTGGCATGTCAGGACTTGAACCCGGGACATTTTGGTTCCGAGTCGAGCACTCTGCCGCTGTGCCACACGGCCCCACGAAATGTGTTTTTGAAGGCTTGAAAGTCCAGAATATCGCTGTAGATGAAATTGACCCTGTCTTTGCCTTCTTTTGCAGAGCCGAGAGATCACCACCACGTGTCATGAAGACCTAGTGAGGGTACTGAATGAGCTGTACACTGTAAGTATCATACACAGATAAGAATGACAAATGTGCGACGCACATGAATTTTCATTTCCAAGTTTTCAACCATAATGTAAATCGTACAAAGCAGCTGCAACATGAGCAAAAGTTGAAAAAAGTTGAAAAACGATGATGTCTTATGAAACTAATGTCTTAAGAAGTGCAGTCTTACATTTGGCTCCAGGAAAACTACATTGTACATTAGAGTGTTAGAGCCTTGGAAGATTAGCCCAGCAGGGCTTAAAGGTTTTGGAATAAATGAAATGTAATAAAGGAAAAAGTCTGCCTCTGCAAGTAAGTGGAAAGGTATATTGGTATGGAGTGGGAGATAACTTCAAATTGCTGTCTTCCCCCACTTATCTTTAGAGAAAGGATCCAAAAGTAAAAGATAAGGCATGTAGGGCAGACTGTAATAGCTTCTTCTGAGCAGGAAGTGGCCAACAGATAACCTAAATGGCCAAGGTTTTCTCTCCTTTGTCATTTATAGAGGATATCCTAAATTACAAGGAGATAACCACAGTGGGTGTGGAATGGAAAACTGTTTTTGGTTCTTTTAGCTTAGGCCACAGCAAGTAATTTTTATGGATGGCATCAGAAATTCTGTTGCCCCCTGACAGTCAACATGCCGAAAATGGGCAAAGATGTCTTTTGCCATGCCGGAACGTTTCTTGTTAACAATGTTTATGATGTCAAAATTTGGAAATCTAGGAATTTAGATTTTTTGGCCCGCCTTTTTTTTTCCCTACTGCATTATGGAGTTTAGGAGGATGTCATCCATAAAATTTACTTGTTGTGGCCTTAAGAACAAAACCCAATTAGTGAACAGTATAAGCAGAATACTCCCTACGCAGAGTTCCAGACTGCAAGGCACATGAGTTAGGCCATTCCAATTTGATTTGTTGTGTCTCAGATTTTTTTTCAGAAAAAAATATAAAGCAACAGGGCAAAAAAAGAAGAAACCAAAAACAGAATTTTGAGTTGATTCAAAACCTGAATCCTTTTTTTTTTTTTGCAAATCAGAAAAAAATTTAACGGGTGAAAATAAGAACCAACTAATTATATTGGTATGGCCTTAATAATAACTACGTACTGAGAAACATAACTGTTAAACATAACCATTAACCAAACATTATGCAGTCTTGCACTAGGTTAAGGAATTGTATTGTATGTGCATGAGGAATACAAAATTATAACCTTTTGCACCAGTTGGATGGCTGTCATAATGGTCCATGAACCCTGTAAGAAAAATTGCTGCCATCAATTTAAGGCATTTACGTTGCCAGTATTACGTATTGGATCATAATTGAATTTTATTCTGGTTGTAATGGTTTCATGGGAACATTGTATCAGGATTCTAAGGCCACACCAATTTAATTTCTTGGTTAACAGATTCGCTCGCTTAATTTTTTTTTCTGATTTGCAAAAAAAATAATAATTTCAGAATCAACTGCAAAATGCTCATATTTTGCCCTGAACAGTTGAAAACAGTCCTTTTCTTCCTAGTTACAGTTATTCCATCTTTCAATGCAGTGGTATCATTAAAAGTTCAAAATTCATTGTTTAAATTTTGAACCAGCCTGATGTGTTGACTTCATGGCTCATATTGTACCATTTTGGGCCATAATAGGATGCCTAGGCCTGTTTTTATTTTTTTTCGCCTGCCTGCTTCATTATTTTTCTAGAAAAATCCATTAGCCAAGAAATTAATTTGGTGTGGCCTAATTGTGATAGAAAAATGTTTTATCACAAATGCTCGAATTCAAATGTTACCTGAATTTTTTTACAACAAGTATCTATTTGCATAAGATTTGTGGATAAAAATTGGACTATCTGCCTCCTGTATGAGAGATGTAGTGCTTACAAATTTAGCAGTAAGCAAGACAAGCGCAGCAATTTGATAGGTTGCAGGGGGAAGCTGTCTCTTACAAGATTACGCCAACAAATCCTTTTTGAGCTAGCTTTACAAATTAGCATTCAATGCTAAACCCAAGCCTATTAGTCACGTACACTCAGGTACTTTATCTAATTGTACACACCTTCCATGTAATGAAATACCATCTCTCCAGGGCTTCGCTGCTGATGTGCTATTTATATACAGTTGCTCCAAACACTCGCTAAAGCTATAGCTCAACCTCCCGCAAGGGTTTATAGCAGTCTGTATTCCTTCCCGTTAGCTATCAAATTATATATATCCAGGCAACATGCTGGACTAGCATGACAAGGGCATCCAACGAAATCTTTGAAAATGTAAAATGATGTATTTTACTATGTTTACCGAAGGAAAACATATTGTTTTTGCTACGTTTCCTCTTCTTCTTCTGTTCCAAACACTGACCTCTGACCTGGAAAATGACCTGATTTGTTGACGTCTCTCACCATGGTAACTGGTGTTGGGTTACATAATGTTGCAATTTTGTAGTAGGAAGGATTTATACTCCTGTCTGACCATATATATCACCCTGTTCATACCAGACTTATATTTAGCGGTTTCAACCGGTTTTTCAAAAACCGGTTTTTATCCCTTGTCCTGCTGGCATTCCTGGCACAATATTTTTCAATAATTTCATGTCTTAATTAGATCATAGACCCCCAATTTTTTTTGCCCTGCAGTGGCATAGTTACTTCTGCATTCGTTGCGTTTCGCTGCGGTGTGATGCGTTGCACGAGAAATACCCCCAAATCGTACCTATACAGGGTGTTATATAGATGGTACTGTATGTGCCGCGCGACATATGTTGCGCACAGCAGGACAAGGGTTATTTAACCTGGTGTGAACACAAATTAACCGGTTTTTTAGGGGTTTAAATCCGATTTTGAAAAACCACCTCGGGAGGTGGTTTTTGAGGGGTTTTTGAAGGGTTTTTCCACCGAAAAACCTGGTCTGAACGCTAAGGGTTTATTGAACCGGTTTTTGCGTCATAATTCCGGGGTCACGGGTCAGCATCCTGGCCGTGTGCGACCTGCAAGCTTTTTTGATCGCGTTGTTTTGACCAACTTTGAGTTCGTTTCCACTGTTTTTCCACGGTTTTTCTTCATTTTGCGATGGAATC